TTTGATCTTTTAGGATGAAACTTTAAATCTTAATATAATATCAGAGTTAATTAAATTCAAATAAGCAATTCGATCCAAATAAGATTCAAATGAGCACAAAAATATGAAGCTTAATGTTCTCAAACGAGCTATCATATTGCGAGTACAGGTTAATGGATAATCTAACATTGCTCGAATATAAAAATTTTAAATAATATATAAGGGCTCGAATTACTTCTTTTAATAAGGTTGATATTTGGAGATGGAACATTAAATCTCAATATAAGAGTAAGTGATATGAATAAAGAAGAAGAGTAGAGTAAAAATATGAACATGATTTTAAATGGGTTAAATTAGAGTTTTAATTTATTAAAAATATTAAAATTGAACAGTTTACATAGGCTACTACACGAAGACGACTTTGAAAAATTTATTGTTCAAGTTTCATGAAATGAAGTTTGATTGATAAATACGTGAAAATAATTTATGAGACTTTCAGATGCCATAGAACTTGATCATAATATGTGTACTATAACTAAGTTAATCCGCCAAATGTAGATAGAATTCACCAAGGTTACGTCTTCCGGAAATGAAAATCCCGATTCTCGAATGATAATGACATATTTAGTATGTTAAAATATAAGTTTAATAGGACAATTTAACTTATATGAACAGACACTCAATGTGGCGAGCAATGAATCAGGAAAGATCGATCAATCTTAAAAAATTAAAATATGTAAGGTCGATCGTGGAGAAAGAAATTACTAAAAAAATGAACAAAATTTGAAATAATCATTTTAAATAAGATAAAATTTGATATTGTCAGAAGTTTTAAAATTGAAAATATTTTTCCTGATCCCTTGCATCTACAAAAAATAAATAAAATTGGAGTCAATGGTTTCTTATTTACTGATGAACACTGCAGCATTAATATATAAAATTTAATAGATCCATGGTAAAATATTAATAAAATAAAATAAAAATTCCCTAGATTCAATTGACTTTAAATTATTTTCCATTGAAAATTCTATTTTAACCACCCATGTTCATTAATTACTACATCATATGCCAATACATTTTTTTCTTTCTTCCACGGGATGATCCGAAGTGTTCCTTTCAAAGAACATTTTTTAATGTGGACCAAGACATGGATTAATTAAGTTAATTGGTTAATTAATCTACTTAACTTACCAAATTATTTAAATATAAGGAAATATGCAAGAGTTGGTAACTTGTTAGAACGTGCTCTTGTTGTCACATTCTATATGTATTATCTTTTTAGTTTATTATTTGCGAATTGATGCGTTCCAACTACCAAAAATGGGGAAAAAATAAAAATAAAAAGAAAGGGTGTAAAATTCTTGAAACAAAAACAGTATCGAAATTTACGGGCACTTGGATTACTAGCCAATTTTCTTGAAATTGAGTTTCTAATCTTGAATTTTTAGCGATTAAATCATAAATCGAGTTGATCGCAGTTATTTTTTAAGTCAAATATGACTTTTTTAAAATATATTTTATGGGTCATATGGAGTTGCTTTGAAGGGTCTCATACCTCAAGAAACTGCATTGGAAGGTGAAATGTCATATCTCGACTAAGACACATGAAATACTTCTAGTGCATTATTTAAGCATTGAAAAGAAAATTGACATTACATTATGATATATACATATATGTGTGTATGTATATCTGCTACACTCACTAAATGGTCATGGACAGGAATACCTGCATGAGAAGCATTCATATGGTCCACTTGCTTTCTTTACAATAAACACGAACACACATTTGTGTGTGCATTTATTTATATTAGTATTTACATTTATATAGGAAGAAAAAATCTTGGGGCATATGTGTCGCATTCCTGGTTTTCAAATATCTCTAACTAATATTTTTGCATTATTGCTCCAAGATTCCGACAGGCATGCTTTGTCAATCCTCATAATTGAAGTTATGAGTGGGACGAGCTGCTAGGCTCAGCTCGGCTTGCCCCACTAGCGAACCAAGCAGCAAAAAACTCATACGAGCTAGCTCGCATGAGGGTTTTTGGCTTGAAAGAGCATTTTAGACAATAAAATAAACAAAATAAATATCAAGGGGCGAGTTGAGCTCAACTTCCTTGACGTGAGCTGAGTCATACGGTATATGAGTCTAATGATTTTATTCGATCCGTTTAACACCTCTTGTTGTAGCTTGAAACATATAAAGAATTATAACATTTGTTTGCTATTTTACTTTTGTATGTTTTATAACTTTGAGTGGGTTTACCTTTTCTGCTATACGAACACGTATTGAATAAATGTGATAAATATACGTCTCCTATGATACACATATGTTCAACTATTAGTCCGGTATAAAATTAGCGTAATTTTTAGTAGGAGGGGAGAGGAGGAGATTTTACTTTTCCTATTCATTTTTCATTTTTTTTTTAATTTTTTGGTACTCAACCTTGAATACAATCACGAAGTTGAATACTATGATCGAGTCTTATGATCTAATCCATTTGTAAATTGACCTGCACAAAAAGAATTGAGGACGTATTTTTGAGATTAGCTCACCTATCATAATGTAGCAGGGACATTGGACATATTAATTATAACGGGTGAATTAGTAAAATTTGAAGAAGGAAAGATGGTTAACTCTTTTTTTCCACATGCCGTTGCGTGTGGATGAAGCCATGGCCGATGGCCTAACATGCCCAAAATCATGTGCAAGGGAAGCGGCAATTTTTGTCAAAGGAAAAATGCTTCATCAGAAAGAATGTAGCACGTTTGTGCGGTTACCTGACCCTTCAAGCAATCTAGGCTTGTCTGAGTTTCATTTTTTCTCAAAATATATTTTTTTTCCTCTTCGTTTCAACTATACTTTCTTCATTAAAATATTATTGTCTGTAAATCAAATTTTTTCCTTATTTTTTAACCACACATTTATCATTAATCTACTATTCTAAAATTCATTTTTTTCATAAAAATAGGGTTCAAACACTTTCTTACTTTCTCATTACGATGGAGTGTATAACTGTTTAAGTAATTAACACTTGTTTAAGCCACATTATTTTCATAAGAATGTATTTTTGAATAGTGTATTGATAAAAAATGTGTAGTTAAAAATAAAAAAAGTTTTAAATTTACGTGTAATATTATATTATTTAAGAATATGTGATTAAAATGATGTCAAATAATTTTTTAACAATGTATTTTTTTGAAATGATGTGGATCAGACTGAACATTATTTTGTATCCACTGTGACACATTATTCGACATGTAGTAGTAGAATAATTTACACAATTTAATAGATAAATTTTCAACTTCGTTTTCTTTTATCATACCAAACGAGTAAAAAATAATGGAATGTATAAATATGTTTTTTTTTTTTTTGATGAATAATTGCTATAATTCTATTGATTTGACTTCTATATTATATACATTTCTTTCAAGCCAATTTAAACTAGAGTTGGGGTGACGTTTTAATACAATTTAATACTTCGTACGAAGTATAAAATTATACTGTATTTTTAAATTAAAAAAAAACTATAATAATGATAAAATATCTATTTTAAAACATACTAGTCACACAATTTTAAGCCCCAATTTAATAGGGATTAAAATCTAAATTTTAATATAAGTTAAAGTCAATAATTAATTTTTATCATATATTTTCTGAGATCACAACTTTTTAATCATGCATTTCATCATATTTTTTTATCGAAATGTATTAAAAATTTGATTTTAATCCTACCAAATAGAAACTTACTAAGCCATTGTTTGATTTCTATTCTTCTAAAAATTCATTTTTTCAAAACTCATTTTCAACCGTACATTTTTCAATAAAATAATATTACACATAAATTTAAAACTTTACTTTAATTTTTAACCACATATTATCTATCAATCTACTATTATTCAAAAAGTATTATTTCTTTCAAATGGAAATCAAACAAGGGCTAAGTCACACTGTAACGGGGCATTTTGGTCCATCCATCAAGGAGAAAATAAAGATTTCCAAATAACTTTTTATTCAAACAGTCCACGGAATTTAGAAATATTATGCACTTATTAATCACTTATTTCTATTTATTTACAAACAAAATTGTTTATATACACTTCCATTGTGAGAATTTCGCAGAGATTCAATGTTGAGTTCAAGGTTACTACCATTGTGGTGTTTTCGTAAAAAAATAGTTGGTAATAATTAAACCTATATTCGATAAGAATATATAAATGTTTTAATTTATGAACCGATAAAAACGAGTGTTTAATAATAGTACTTGTGGGTGTATTGCAATATGGGGTTAAAAATTAATTTTGAGCATTTACAAATGATTTATAAATTTTTTTCCATTGGTAATAGTTGAATTATTTTGTAGCGGTTTCTTCTTTAATTTGAAAGCAATAAAGTAATTATTAATGGAGAATAAGTCTTTTGACAAAAAATGCTTGAAGAAAAAGAAAATGAGAATGTTCAATTAAAAGAAAAAGAAAGAAACTAATGTTATACGAAATATAATTCATTTAATTGAACTTATCAAGTATAATCATCTAAACTGATGTTTTAGTACCATTAAATATAAATTATCAACATGTTTGAGAGTGATTTTTTGGCCTACAAAATTAATTTTTTGACCGTTATTTTATTATTTCAGCCGTCATATTTGACTTCTTCTCTCATAGATGGACCCTATTTTTCTTCTAACGATAAAAAAATCAATTCTTAAAATCACTCTCAAACAGGCTCTATAAATCATTGCAAAGTTCAAAGTTGTTGGATGAGAGAAGAAATAAGAAAAACTCGAAACTATAGGACTACGCAATTCACATCTACACCAACCAAAGACAACTGTTGAGAATTGTAAATGTCCTCACCTAAAACCAAAGACAAACAAGTCAATTTACGAAAATACCCCTATCAGCTTCCTCAAGCACCACCGCTACACGCTGGGACCCGCCAACTCAAAACCCCCACCTCTTCCCTCTCTCAATTTCTTAATCCATCTACCAAATACCAATCTGTTTTCCTTATTCATTACGCGTTGAATTTTCTTTTCTCTGTATTTCAAGAAAAATACATACATTTTACATACATATACTTTTTTGTCCTTGTCGATCCCTTCTTCAACCCCGTGGCAAGTGATTCTCTGATCCACACCTCACAGACAGAATAGAGATAAATAATTGATAGAGAGAGACCCTTTATCATAAACACGGGTTTCTCTCTGGAAAAGGAATCAGAAAAAACACTCACTACTCTCTCTTTATAATTACCCACATTTTTTTTCTTTTCTTTACAACTCTTTGTATTAATATATATATTTTTTATGAGTCTGTTAATGTATCTTTTTCAGTGATTGTTTAATGTGAAGGGGGTGGTGCTTAAGAAGACAAAGAAACCGAAGTGGCCGTTCAGTTTCTTTCTTCTTTGACGCGTGGAAATGGGCATTGAGTTATTTTTATTTTTGCTCTCTTTTTCTCGATTGTGAAGGTGCTGTAATCGTGTCTTTGTGTGAGTGAGCAAAAGGAGAGAGTTTTAAGGTTTCCTTCAGATGGATACCAAAGGAAGGCTTGTGGCTGGTTCACACAACAGAAATGAGTTTGTACTCATCAATGCTGATGAGATTGGAAGAGTAAGAGCTCCAAAAGTCATTCTTTTTTGCCCTTCTGCATATTCAGCTCTCAAATTTGTTGCAATTTGCGGCTCCAATTGGTTTAAAAATGCTTATTTTGGGTTTATTGACTAGATGCCATGCCCGATTTCTTTTCTCCAGTCAAATTGTGTTTTTAGGGTTCATATATCTGCTTTATTTCCAGCCAGAAAAAAATCTAGATTTTATTAAATGAATCTGTGAAATAGATTTTCTTTCTTTTTCTACATCTACTTGATTTGTTTTCTAAAATTGTCTTTTTGTAATCTGTCTGTGTATCTGCGAGTGCCAATGCATTTTCACTAAGATTTTGTTTCACTTGTTAAAATGTTGAAATTTCTTGATCTGATGGCAGGTGACTTCTGTGAAAGAGTTGAGTGGACAGATTTGTCAGATTTGTGGGGATGAGATTGAAATTACAGTGGATGGGGAGCCTTTTGTTGCCTGCAATGAATGTGCCTTCCCTGTTTGTAGACCATGCTATGAATATGAAAGAAGAGAGGGTAATCAAGCTTGTCCTCAGTGCAAAACCAGATACAAGCGCATAAAAGGTAAGTCATAGATACTTCTTCTCATTTACTTAACTTACTCTTCAATGACTAGTGCTTTTGGTAATAGTTTAATTAACGCCCTCGATTTTTTTTTCCCTTCTTCAGGGAGTCCTAGAGTCGATGGAGATGAAGATGAGGACGAATTTGATGATTTGGATAATGAGTTTGATTACAATGGCAATGAGAGAAGAGATCCTCATCAGATTGCTGAAGCAGCACTCTCGACTCGCCTTAATATTGGTCGAAGTGCTTCTGGAATCACAATTCCATCCGAGTTGGATTCGGCAGCCATTGGCTCTGAAATTCCTCTCCTTACTTACGGTCAAGAGGTAGACTGAGGCTTAACTGTTTTTTATCTTGTTTTGAACACATTATATTTTATGAGTTTAAAATTTTGATGGTGGACTCATCAGTGATCGTTTTTCTAGATTAAGCTAACCTTATTTTCCTTGTTAAAAGTTTTGATGAAAATTTGCATTTTGATGAAGGATGATACGATCTCAGCCGACAAACATGCTCTCATTATTCCACCATTCATGGGTGGGGCAAAGCGAATCCATCCTATGCCATTTTCTGATTCCTCCATGCTTGGTAAGCTCATTGAGATTTACTAGAGCAGTTCCCTAATTAATTTGCTGGGTTTGAATATAAGGTTAATTCACCTACTGATATGGCAGTTCCACCTCGCCCGATGGATCCTAAGAAAGATTTAGCAGTGTATGGGTACGGTACCATTGCCTGGAAGGAAAGAATGGAGGAATGGAAGAAAAAACAGAACGATAGACTTCAAGTGGTGAAGCATCAAGGAGATAAAGGTGGAAACATTGGTGGAGATGAGATGGATGATCCTGATTTACCCAAGTAGGTCCACCTGTTTTGTTTCTTTTATCATATGCTTTATAGTATAGTAGTGTCGGTGATCTGACTTTAGTGTTTTTATTTTTAAATTCTTTTTATGTTCTGTGTTTTGTGATTGCTTTGACTTAGTGTTATTGTTACTTGGGGAAAGTACACTCTTCTTTAAAATTTTTACCAAGGATTATATACCACACAACCTTATTTACTGGGCTTAAGAATTGGATTGTATATGATGGTTTTAAAGTTATCAAGCCTAAAAAATGATTTTTACATCTTTCAACTATAAAATTGAGAAAAATTTGAATGTTGAAGCTGACGATAATCCTATGTATAGAAACTTTGCTTACAAGGATTACGTAGGTATCATTCTGATAATTACTTTTAGGAAAAAAAGATTACTTCTTCTTTGACTTCTGTTATTCTCGTGGAAAAATGTGACTTATTGACTCCTATCCTTCCAGGATGGATGAAGGCAGACAACCGCTTTCAAGAAAACTACCTATTTCTTCAAGCAAGATAAACCCCTATCGAATGATCATTCTTCTACGAATGGTAATTCTAGGGTTATTCTTTCACTACAGAATTCGTCACCCTGTCAACGATGCATATGGATTATGGCTCACATCAATTATATGTGAGATATGGTTCGCTGTTTCGTGGATATTTGATCAGTTTCCGAAGTGGTTCCCCATTGAGAGAGAAACATATCTTGATAGACTCTCACTGAGGTATTAGCTCCCTTCCCCTGGTATATCTGGGGTCTTTTTACAGTGGTCTCATAATTTGTTTCTGAGCTTGTACCATTGAACTTTATGCCAGGTATGAGAAAGAAGGGAAACCGTCTGAACTGGCTCCTGTAGACATATTTGTGAGTACTGTGGATCCATTGAAAGAACCTCCACTTATTACTGCAAACACAGTTCTCTCCATCCTTGCTGTGGATTATCCAGTGGACAAGGTTGCCTGCTATGTCTCAGATGATGGTGCTGCCATGCTGACTTTTGAAGCTCTTTCTGAGACATCTGAATTTGCACGGAAATGGGTCCCATTTTGCAAGAAATTCAACATTGAGCCTCGGGCACCTGAATGGTACTTTGCACAGAAGGTTGACTATTTGAGAGACAAGGTGGAACCCACATTTGTGCGGGAACGCCGTGCAATGAAGGTGTGCCACTTTTCCCTTTGATCTATTTGAGAAATTTCCTTTTTCATTTTTGTATTAGTTATTGAGATTCGCAAGGTTTACAAAACCAAGTTTCAAAATGTTGATTCATGAAATCATCCTTGGATTGCATTTGCAAATTCTCTCTCTTTAATCTAGTAAAGATAGCTTCATTTAGTTATAGCACTCATGGCATGTTTGTTATGCAATATTGGATAGTATTTGTTGAATAAAAATAAGCTAAAATCCTGTTTATCATTCTTCCAATCTTCCGTGTGCCATACGTGCGCTAAAACTATTGACAGAAATGATAAAGTCATCCGTTGAGTAACCTCAATTTTAGGATTTGACTATGATAACTAAAATTTCCTTCTATAACTGGCTTCATGCAGAGAGAATATGAAGAGTTTAAAGTTCGAATTAATGGATTAGTTGCAATGGCACAAAAGGTTCCTGAGGAGGGCTGGACCATGCAGGATGGAACTCCATGGCCAGGCAATAATGTCAGGGATCATCCTGGAATGATTCAGGTATAGATAGCATTGTTGTTAGAAGGCATGTGCTTATTGTCGGACTAGTACTGGCACCTCTGTAAAATGCAAAATATTTTAGTATTGATTTTAATTTTGCCCAACAGGTTTTCCTTGGTCATAATGGTGTTCATGACATTGAAGGAAACGAGTTGCCTAGCCTAATTTATGTTTCTCGTGAGAAGAGGCCAGGATTTGATCACCACAAAAAGGCTGGTGCCATGAACGCTTTGGTAAAACTCTCTCTCTCTCTCTCTCACACACACACACACACACACACGCACGCACGCATTTCAATTTCTTTTTAATGAAGTATTCATAATGTTTTGAGCTTGTCTAACAGATTTTTTCCTTAATAACTGTATATGTAGGTGCGTGTCTCAGCTGTCATCTCAAATGCTCCTTTTCTGCTTAATGTTGATTGTGATCACTACATAAATAACTGTAAGGCTCTAAGGGAAGCTATGTGTTTCATGATGGACCCTCAAGCTGGAAAGAAAATATGCTATGTGCAATTCCCTCAAAGATTTGATGGAATTGATCGACACGATAGATATTCAAATCGCAATGTTGTCTTTTTTGATGTATGTGAAGTTCTTTCCCTACATATATTTACCAATTTTGATTTATATGCCTGTATATTCTTTTCATTTGTTAACTTATAATAGTCTAACTCTTAATTGAAAACAGATAAATATGAAAGGGCTTGATGGGATCCAAGGTCCAATTTACGTCGGAACTGGATGTGTCTTCCGAAGGCAAGCACTTTATGGATATGATGCCCCCAAGAAGACAAAACCCCCTGGGAAAACATGCAATTGTTTGCCAAAATGGTGTTGTTGCTGTTGTCAATCCAGAAAAAAGAACAAGAGAAGCAAAACAAAGGATAAAAAGAAGACAATGAAGGGCAGGGAAACATCAACCCAGATTCACGCTCTTGAAAATATAGAGGAAGGAATTGAAGGTAAGGAAATTGATGACAAAGGGGCATCAACATTTCATTTTACTTCTATCTTCGAAATTTCCATTAAAATGAAGTATTCTGTGATAATAGCAAATAAAGAATATCATGTACCTCATGGTAACATAAATCTGCTTGAAATAAATTCAACTATCTTGATACGATCTTGGTGCATTTGTTGCATAAATTGGCTCAATAAATGGGAATTCATATTTGAGAGCCTCTTTTTGAATATTCCTAAGAGGTTAAATCTTTGCCTATTTAATTGTATTCCCAATATTTCTATGGCAAGTTGGAAGAAATTGGCTGCTTCTTTAAGAACCTACCCTCTCTGATTCTGCAACAGGCATCGTGAATATTACGCCTTTCATTTGTAGTAATGATATTTACTTTTGCAGGAATTGACAGTGAGAAATCAGCCCTCATGCCCCAGATAAAATTTGAGAAAAAATTTGGACAATCACCAGTTTTCATTGCTTCGACGCTGCTAGAAGAAGGTGGTGTTCCTCCAGGAGCCACATCTGCATCACTCTTGAAAGAAGCAATTCATGTAATTAGTTGTGGTTATGAAGATAAAACTGACTGGGGAAAAGAGGTAAGTGTTGACTGTAAAAAGTTTGCTTCTCTTTAAAGTTATGTTCAAAAGGTCATATCTGTGCATCAATTCTAACAAATCTACACAACCAGGTTGGATGGATTTATGGTTCTGTTACAGAAGATATCTTGACCGGGTTCAAGATGCACTGTCATGGCTGGCGTTCAGTTTATTGCATTCCCAGAAGGCCTGCATTCAAGGGTTCCGCTCCCATTAATCTTTCAGATCGTTTGCACCAGGTTCTTCGTTGGGCTTTGGGATCGGTTGAAATTTTCTTGAGCAGACACTGTCCCATCTGGTATGGATATGGCTGTGGTCTGAAACCGCTGGAGAGATTTTCATATATAAACTCTGTAGTCTATCCATTGACGTCTATTCCATTAATTGCTTATTGCACCTTGCCAGCAGTTTGCCTTCTTACCGGGAAATTCATTGTCCCTGAGGTGAGCTCTTTGCATGCCATATATAGGGCCTAAGTATTGAATTGCCTTGATGAAAATAGATGTTAGCTGGTTGAGCATATTTTCTTCCCTAAATGCTTATGCCGTAGAACATGTGAAATTTTCGTCCTTAAATTCTTTGGAATTCTAATTTGGGATTCATCGGGGATTGCTTTAGTTTTAGCGTGCTTAACATTTTAACTGATGGTTTTCTTGTATTGTCTACAGATTAGTAACTATGCCAGCATAATATTCATGGGCCTCTTTATTTCAATTGCTGCAACTAGTATACTGGAGATGCAATGGGGTGGTGTTGGCATTGATGATTGGTGGAGAAACGAGCAGTTCTGGGTGATTGGTGGTGTCTCATCTCACTTTTTTGCTCTGCTGCAAGGTCTTCTAAAGGTTTTGGCTGGTGTTAACACCAACTTCACTGTTACATCCAAGGCAGGGGACGATGGAGAGTTTTCCGATCTTTACCTCTTTAAGTGGACATCATTATTAATCCCTCCTTTGACATTGTTGATTATCAACATTATTGGGGTCATAGTTGGGGTTTCAGACGCCATAAGCAATGGGTACGAATCATGGGGACCTCTGTTTGGAAGGCTATTTTTCGCGTTATGGGTCATTGTCCATTTATACCCCTTCCTCAAAGGGTTTATGGGGAAGCAAGACAGAGTACCTACCATCATCATAGTTTGGTCAATTCTTCTGGCTTCTATCTTCTCACTGTTATGGGTCCGGATCAACCCGTTCCTGTCTAGGGATGGAATTGTATTAGAAGTATGTGGGCTGGATTGTAATTAGATACAGATGATAAACTTCTCGTGCTTTTGAGTTTATAAGAATCACAGGGTAAAGACTGGCATCCCTGGAAGCTTTCTGGTCATCGACGTGCTGTGGTGGCATGTGTAGATAAAAAAAAAAACTGTGCCTGAACACTTGGAAATTTGTTCTGCAAAATTTTCATTGATTCTTTGGATAGTTTTTCGTGTTCTGTAATCCCAAGAGAACATAAAGTTTTTCTTTCATACTATTAAGTCACTGCTCAATAAGGGCTTTCTCTAAGGATTGTCCTCAAGTTAAAAAGTTCATAATTTCAAGAACTTGTCATTCAGTTTCTTGTTCTATAATCTCAGATCTTGGAATTTTGATTTTTATTCTCATTATGGTGTGTAATATTATCTCAGTTTTAGATGTCTGAAATATGTACACAAGTCATACAGCAATAAGAGAGCTTTGATGAATGTGATCCTCCTATTTCTGAGTTAGTTAAATGCCATTTTCTTCCTATTTTACAGCCTAGTTTCAGTACTTGAAGATTTGCTCGAATTTTTTTGATGAATTATTTATTCTAAATCATGTTCTTTCATATGGGTCGAATAGATATTCACATATCAAAATGTTTCTGCCATTCTTCTTGGCTTCTTCTTCCAATCTTGCTAGGGGATGGTGCTGTCTGTACGAGTAATTGGAGTGGTTAAATCCGGTACCATCTTCATTGCATTTTTGTTGCTTCCTAGAATACCTGCTTGGTTTCTTCCTTTCGTGAACTTGTTCTTTAATTACAAGTGTTATCGATGTGAACAAGAATCGTAAAGCTTGATAGTAATTATAATTTGTCTCCTCTCTCCTCTATTGGATTAAACTTTTAAATACGGTAGCTCATCAGCAGACAAAGGTTCTAAACTTAAATCTCGTTGTCATTTATTTATGAAAATTATAATCAGGTTATAGCTTAAATTATTATTAATTATGACATATGAGGCTGATATGTTGGAAATGTAATTTAAATTCAATTAGTTGATATTTCTTCAACAGCTTAAATTTACAGAAGAGTTGGTTCAACTTACAGTAACTTGCATTTTTAGAGAAGTTGATTTCTTAAGTCGTTTCAAAATTGGTTGGCTATTACTACATTGAGTAAACTAAACGTCGATTATTGCCACATGCACTTATTGACTCGAAGGATTAGTCTTAGTTAAAATAGGATACTTCCGTCAACAGACGCCATAGACTTTCAGTCTACATCAAATCAATGGAATAAGAAGATGTAGTAACCTGTAATTATGAAGGGCAATTCTGTGTTTACACTTGCTTGGACTCAAGCCTAATGTCGAGACTAGGCCTGGGCGTGATTTGGTTTGGGTTGGTTTTGACCTAAACCCAAAACCAAACCAAAGTAGTCGGTTTGAGTGAAATTAAAACCAAAACCAACCCACTCTAATTCTTAAACCGAACCAACCCAAACCACTTCGGTTTGGTTTGGTTTGGTTTCTCGGTTTGAACTTTTAAATAATATTGCATTGTAACTTATAAAGAACAAGCAAACATTGATGTTACTCTTACACATTGTTCTCTCTCTTTTCTTTTTCTTTTTCTTTTTTTTCCTCCTTTTTTTCTTTCTTTTTCCTTTCTTTTTTTCCTTGTTCCCCCATTTTTGAGTTTGATTTACAAATGTGAGTGTTTCTTTTGCTTGGCGCATGATCTTTGGATACTTTCTGTAATGAACTAACAATTGCCAAACTTAATGACTAGTTTCACTTGTTTATGTCTGTGGGCGGTGCTAATTGATTATCTGGATCCTGTAGTTTCACATTATAGTTTGTCTCCTTCAAAAGTATTTGTTTCATATCCTAGAATATCTTTCCTAGCATTTGTTTGGTCAAAAAGCAACATTTGATTCCATTTATAATGTCCTTTTAGTTTGTGATTTTTGTCATATGTTTTTAACTGAAGAGATCACTTTCTTCCAACTTGTGGAGGAAGCAAATTTTCCTTCAAGTTTGTTTTGTTAATCTACAATGGGGGATGAGGAAAACAATTTTCAACTTTCAAAAAAGAGGGCTGCCGGAGTGCAACTATCTTGAGATAATCCTGATCTTGATGATGATGAAACCTTTGAATCAGAAACAAAAAGTTTCAAAAAAGCTAGTGACGAGGTTCTGGAAAGTAGAAGAATAGCGAAAGTTCGTCGTCATCAAGCATCAACTTCCGGTGCCTTATCTTTTGCCTTTTCTTCCTGAAAAGGAAAACGAAAGCAAGAGAAAATGTATTGCTTGAGAGTCTGATTATGAGTTAGTTTCCATGAAATAATTATAAGTCCTATATCCATTTTGTTGCATGATTCTTAATCATCATGCTGCATGATTCTGGAGATATGAATGATTGAATCGTAAATATAGTCTACAGTTGCTAATAAAACCTTAGTTTTACTACTATTGAAATTGATAATTAATGTGGAATTTTATTGGATTTGGATTGGATTGGTTATCATGTTTATTTTGATTCCTACAGT